GATTGGTTTCTTGAAACTCACAAGAAGTCAAACACCAGAAAAGAGGGGATTTCTGAAAACCACCCACTAGGATGGCAACTGGTACTTGGTAATTTCAAATATTAAGAAAAGAAAAAAAAACTGGCGTTGATTAGGCAGTATCTAATCTCCCTAAGCACAGGAAGTGAAGGCGATTGAGTCTGATTTGCAGGAGGCCCTGAAATTGCACAAAGCAGTCACTCCCCCAGCAAGGCCCACTCAGTCCTGTGGAGACGCCTGCTGTGCCTGCCTCCAGCTGAGCACTACGGAGGGAAAGCACCATTAAATTCCCTTCCAGCTCTGCAACCAATCAGCTGCACCAAGGTCACCAGGTGAAGGGGGTGGGGACGGAGAAAAGCAAGGATGAGATGAGTTTGACTAGGCTAAGATGATGGGGCCAGTGGAACTTGGCCATTCATTCCCTAAATGTTTATCAAACCCCTAACATCCACCAGGCATTAAGCTAGGCAGCCAGGGCACAAACAAGAATTAAACGGAAGGACCCCTCACACTGGTGGAAAGTTAGCTGACAAACATCTAGGATGTGCTGTGCTGTTGGAAGCACAGCAAAGGGACCCCTTAATTCTGCCGTGGTCCGGGATGGTGTTAGGGAAGAATAAATATCCCCAGGGTTGAGTGTAGTAGGACAATTCGGAGTTTTCCAGGCAAAAAGCTCTGTGTGTGTGTGTGTGTGTGTGTGTGTGTGTGTGTGTGTGTGTGTGTTTGGGGTGGGGGGATGTAAGTTAAAGGGTGGAAAACAGTACAGAGGAAACCGTGCATGCAAAGGATGGGGGTTCTCATAGTAGGGTCGTGTGAAGGGAGTATTGGTGGCATTTGGGGGAAACGTTTAGAAGAGGCTGGAAATGTAGGCAGAGTCCCACTTTCCATGGAGGGGAGGGAGAGACAAAGCCTTGGAGACAGTGAAGAGGCTCCTGCTACCGTCTAGTTAAGAGATGGGGAGAGGGGAAACTAAGGTAGGGTGAAGGAGGGCGTTTCTGAGTGTAGGCAGATGGGATCTGTTGCAAACTGGATTAAAGAGTAGAGGATGGTGCCCACCTTCCTTGGGTTGGAAGGCAGATTGTATCGTCATCAAGTCAGATCAGGGGAGGGTTAGGATCTTGAATTCAGAGTGGGCGGTGCTGACTTTCAGCTGGTGACGTTTGTCTACGTGGAGATGTACAGTCGACCACGGGAAACACTCTCCAGTGGTCCTCAGCCCAGGAGAGAGGGCTTGGCTGGATGTCCGGGTTTCACAGAAGGCAGAGTCATCCGTATTGATGTCTGTTAGGGGGACCCTCAGCTCCCAGCCTCCCCAGAGGAGATCCACAGCAGCAGGAGCAGCTGGCCCCTGCACCTTCGCCCTGGGGATGGCCCAGAGGGGCGGTGTAGGGGGGGGAGGAAGGACTGAGCATGCGCAGCCTGGCCCTGAGGCCTGCTCTGGCTCCCTTTGCAGCCTACTGGCACGTGGCCGCGGCTGCGCTGGGCCTGAGGAGGGGCGGGTGCTTGTGTACACAGCGAGCCTTTTGGAGTGGCCAGAGACTCGGATCTGCTCTATGAGTAATAAGGCGAACGTTTTGATCTCCGTCTGCCTCCTACAAACTCACGAGGGAGAAGAGACAGTGTCATGTATTGAAACCCACCTCCAGACTCTCAACAGTATTAATTTGTGTTTTGTTTGGTATACTTTCTCCTCCTCTGCAGTCCAAGCAGGTGGCCAGGCCTAGTTCCTTTCCTGAGATATTTTTGCAGGGTAAAAAACACACGAGTTGTCTATGCTCGGTGTTCATGGGGTGAAGGCTTTGAGAGTTGCAAGAGGAGAGAGAAGAGACTCACCTTTGGCAGTGGGAGAGAGGAAATACCAGCAGCTTCCATAACACTGGGATCTAAATGCTGCTCTGTGTCAGCTCACTGGGGGTAGTGACAAGTCTGCAAGGAGGGTAGTTGGTCAGTGAAGTTAGGAAGGCTGGACTGCAGGCACAGGAGCATTCACTTTGCCAAAGATTCCTTTGGTCTATGCCCAAGGACACTGGAGGGCCACGCGGCTGCATGGGGGTGGGGGGCAGCACCTCTGCAGTTATCAGCATCAGCCAAAGACCAATGCCTTTGCCTGGCACGCCTCTCTACAATTACTGAGATAACTTCCTGTCAGCTCAGTAGAATGGGGGCTCAATGTCAGATTAAAGATTATTTTAAAAAGTCAAAAAGTGTGCTGTTTCCTTCAAGTAAGAGTTGGAAGACTAAAGTTCACAGCTGCAACAATAGTTATCAGAACGAGAGGTGCTGGGAGTGCGGGAGGTGTGGATTCAGAGGAAGTGAAGCCAAGGGTGTGGGCAGAGCCTCTCAGATTTAGGAGTACGTGGTCAGAAAGAGGAGGCTGAAAAGGTGAAGCCAGCAAGACAGGAGAAGCTGAAGAGGAGAGTCAACAGCCTTCAGTGCTACAGAGGTCAACTAAGACGAGGGTTGAAAGGCCTTTGGAGGTCACTGGTGACCTTAGCAGAGCAGTGCTGTGGAGGTGGAAGTGAAGGCAAGGAACAAAGGTCACGTTCTCAAGAAAAGTAGCAGGAGAAGAAGAGAGATCACAGTTATAGATCAAGGTGGAGGGAAGGTGAATTTTTAACTTGGGAGATTTCTGGACATGCCTTAAGGTTGAGGGGATGGAACCAATGGAATGACAGTAGATACTTTGTAGAAGTAGAACCAGAAGACAGGAACGTTAGCTCATGTTGAGGAACGAGCCCAGGAGGAGAGTAGGAATATGGAAAGGAGGGGAGAAGTTGTGGCAGCAGCTTCTAAGATGACAGCTCTTGCCTGCTAGTATTAATGCCCTTGTGGAATCCCCTCCCCTCGGGTGCGGGCTCACTTGTAACGCATAGAATACTGTGCAAGTGATGGCATGTCTCTCTGATATTAGGTTATAAAAAGACTGTAGCTTCCATCCTGGGCACTGTGTTGAAAAACACACTGTTTTTTCTCTGCTCTCAAACCACAACAATCAACACAGAAGACTTCTGTGACCAAATGTGCGAGGATTTCTCCTCACCAACAAGCAAGCAATCAGTTCTGCAGCAAACACTGGCTGATGTCTTCTAATCCAGTTCAAGTCTGACATTAACATCTGGGGAAAGCATCAGAGCCCAGAGGTTGAGGGCTCAGTCCCACAAGACTGCCCCCTACTTTAGACACCATTTGCAAGTTCAGACCTCTGGAACTTCTGACTGAGTGACCAGCTTCAAGTGGGGTTCCCACTACCCCCTCTTTAGACTTGATTGATTTACTAGAGTGGCTCAGAAAGCTCTGGGAAACACTTATAAAGGATATTTTGGCCGGGAACCGTGGCTCACACCTGTAGTCCCAGCACTCTGGGAGGTTAAGGCAAGATCTCTTGAGCTCAGGAGTTTGAGACCAGTCTGAGCAAGAACCAGACCCCGTCTCTACAAAATATAGAAAAATGGCTGGGTGCGGCAGCCCATGCCTGTAGTTCCAGCTACTTGGGAGGCTGAGGCAGGAGGATTGCTTGAGCTCAGGAGTTTGACGTTGCAATGAGCTATGATGACACCACTGCACTCTAGCTTGGGTGACAGAGTGAGAGACTCTGTCTCAAAAAAAAATACTTTATTTATTTTATTTTTTAAAATTTATTTATTTATTTTTGAGACAGAGTCTCACTCTGTTGTCCGGGCTAGAGTGCTGTGGCATCAGCCTAGCTCACAGCAACCTCCTGGGCTCAAGCGATCCTTCTGCCTCAGCCTCCCAAGTAGCTGGGACTACAGGTATGCGCCACCATGCCCAGCTAATTTTTTTCCGTATATTTTTAGTTGGCCAATTAATTTCTTTCTATTTTTAGTAGAGATGGGGTCTCGCTCTTGCTCAGGCTGGTTTTGAATTCCTGACCTTGAGCTATCCACCAGCCTTGGCCTCCCAGAGTGCTAAGATTACAGGCATGAGCCACTACGCCCAGCCAAAAAATGATATTTTAAAGGATACGAATAAACAGCCAGATGAAACTCCTGTGGAGCTGGGATGTACCACCATTCTAGCATGTGGATGAGTTTTTATCCACCCTCCTGTAAGCCTCCATGACTTCAACTGTCCCAAAGCTCTCTGTATCCTGTCTTCTTGGGCCTTTTATGGACTCCATGATTGAAGCATGAACAACCGTGTAGAAATGTGATTGGACATAGGGTACAATCTAATATAAATATACTGAGTGGGGAAACCCAGCAAGGCCTGTCTGTCCAGATTCTTCGAGGCCTCTTTGTGCAGCATTCCTTCCTTCTCCATATGGGGCGGGAGCCCTTCTGAAATGGGAGTCTTATTACCTGCAATCAGACAAGTTAAGTCAGAGAATTTCTTTATGGCCAGCTCAAAGATGGAAAGGTGGGGAAAATTAGAGTATATTTTTAGTTTCTATGGCCTGCCTTGGGGAGGAAAACGAGCAGGTCAAAAGAGGACAGGAGAAGGTCAGAGAGGGATTCTGCTCTCTGAAGCTGCTTCTGAGGCCTAACACACCCCAACATTATAACAAAATTATCTTTTATCTTTGTTCTAAAGCTATTCCAAGCTGCTTCAGGAACCAAGGACAAAAGAACAAATGCTTTAAAAAAAGATATGCTTATTGTTTTAGTCACTTTGGAAATAACAAGGACTGTGGGCGCTAGGAGTCAGGAACCATGAACAAAAACATTAATATATATCTCGATACCACAGGCACTCAGTATTCTTCTCGTTCAGACTGCCTGCCCTGGGGGGAGTCAGCCATGTTGCAGAGCAGCCCTATGTAAAGATCCATGTAAATGAATTTAGAAGAGGCTCCTTCAGCCCCCGTCAAGCCTTGAGGTGATTGCAGCTCTAGCCGATAACTTGATTGCTTGATTGCAATTTTATGAGAGGCGCTAAAGGAGGGGAACCCAACCACACCCAGAGCCCACAAACTGTAAGACAGTGTTTGTTGCTTTAAGCCACTAAGTTTTGGGGCAATTTATTTAATATTACACAGCAATAGATAACTGATAAGTAGACAAGTTTGCATGCAGGGAAGGCAAACATTTGAGGGAGGATGAACCCAAACCTTTCCATTTTTTTGTGCTGAGAATGATTTGAGAATAGGAGCCAAGGTTTGGCATGGCCTCAGTTGGAAGATGGAAAATCAAGCTGGCTAGGGATGCATAAAAGAACAAATACTCTTAGGGCCCAACTGAGACTGGTGACAACAAAGTTGAATCTACTGCAGTATGCAGTTGAGGTGTTGTCCAACCACCTCAACACCCTGAAATAGAAGAGAGAGAGGCTGTTGAAATGATCCAGGGTGAGGAGTTTGTAAGAGGATGGGGTAGAAAGCCAAAGAGGCAGATCAACTGAGGATGCTGGCAAGAGCTGGGCCGCTGTGATAGAACCACAGCAGGGGAGCAAAGGAGGTTGGCTCAGGGCTGGAGGGGTGGAAATTGGCAGTCTCAGTGAAGCTGATGAGTTGATGTGATGGGCTTCAGAGTGAGAGAGACTGAAAGACCTCGGGCCTGCTCCCCAGGGTAACCAGATAACTGACAGTGTGCCCATGGGTGCTGGTTGCTAAAATGGAGTGCCTGCCACCAGCTCCTCCAGTCTGACCCAAGCCAGTCTGAGCTCCCTCTGCTCGATTACCACAAACACCATGCTGCTGCCACAAAGGCTTCCTATGGTTCTGTTCTTGTCATGTCTGCCTGTGTTGCCCTTCCCCCATCCCTGTCTGCCTTCATCTCTCCCCAACACATTCCTTCCCAGCTCTCAAGATCAAGTTCAAGTTCATGTTCAGCTTCCTTGGTGAGTCTTCACACATGTTCCCAGTCTGAATCAGTGTCTCCCCACCCCCAGCCCCAGTGTCACACCTGCTACAGCCTTGTAGTTTGCTATCCTTTATCATTAAGTAGATGGGGTTTTCTGTTTTCACCGTTGAAAAGTGCATCCTTGGAGAGTAGACAGTGTGGGCCAGGATCCTTAGGGAGCTGATGTGCTAGCAGAGTGGCTTTTTCTCAGTTGGTGCTCAGTGCTAAACTAGATCAAGTAGTTAAATAATAAACAGTGAGCTCCAGAGGGAGCTGAGCAAACAGCAAGTGCGTGGGGAATTCTGAGACAAAATCATGCAGTGGGGGAGAGCTAGCCACTGAGCACTTGGTCCATCCTGCATCTGCCAGCACTCAGCACCGTGCAAGGTAGGTCTTCCATAGCTTTGAGAACTAAGCCCCAAAGGTTCTAACTTGAGCCTACTCCTCCGTAGGGTCCCGTTCAGTCTCAAGTCTACATTCCACGAACATGCTTCTGACTCCCAAGCCTCATCCCTACCACAGACCACTCCTGTGAATTTTGGACCCGATTCCCAATTGCCTGTGAGGTCCTTCTAAATAGGCCTCTCAAACTTCATGTCCCTAAAACAAACTCCTGATCCCAATCCAAAATGTGTTGCTCCCACATTTCTCTCCATCCTGGTCATTGGTGACTCCACTCTACCAGTCAGAACTGAGAAACTGACTCCTGTCTTCAACATCCACACACAGTCATCTTCTTGGCACTTCCTTCCAGCTCTGCTATCAAAGGGTGTTTAAATTCAACCACCTGCTACCCTGCCTCCAGCGCCTGGTGGGAGCCGCCACCATCCCTCCCCTGGATATTGTAGTAACTCCTCTCTCCTCCATCTGCTTCCATGAGTGTCTCCTTCCACCAATTCTCAACTCAGCAGCAGAGACTCTTTTCAAAAAACAATCTGATCATTTCACTCTTCTACTTAAAACCAACTCCTAGTGCCCCACTGCAGAGTAAAAGCACAAATGCTCATGATGGCCCCTGAGGCCCTGTCAGGCAGTCACCCCTCCGATTTTTCAAATAGTTTTATTAAGATACAATTCACACACCACACAGCTCACTCATTTAAAATGTGCAGTCATATGGGTTTCATTATATTCACAGAACGGCGTGCCTGTCATCTCAGTGAGTTTTAGGACATTCTCATCATTTTGAAAAGATACTCTGCTTCCCAAAGTCATCCCTCCTCCATTGTACCCACTCCTCCAGCCCCAAGCAACCTGCTTTCTGTCTCTATAGATCTGCCTGTTCTGGATATTTCATATAAACCTCTCTGATTTTATCTCCTCCTCCTGAAACCCCCTTCCCTGCACCTCCCTCTTTTCTTCCTCGTGTGCCTTGAACACTCCCAGCATACTCTCTTCTCAGGGCCTTTGGACTGTTCCCCGCCTCACCCACCTCCCCAAAACCCACTGTCCTGGACCTCTTCGGGACCACACCTTCTCCTCTTCATTTCTCTGCTCAAACACCACTTTCTCAGGAAAGCCTTCCCTGACCTCCACACAAAACAGCACTCCCACCATCCCCTTCTGCCCCCCACACACCCCACTTAATTCTTTAAAGTATTATAAGTATATTCTTACATGGCACTAATCACCATGTATTTATTCTATATTTCTTTTTTAATTGACTCTGTCCCCCTACCACTCACGGAATGTCAGCTCCGAGGCAGGGGTTTTAACTCTTTTTTGTTCACTGTTATACCCTCAGGGCCTTGAACAGCACCTGAAATACAGAGATACTCTATATTGTCGAATGGATGGCAGAAATGAAATCTGAACACAAAGCTGTCAGACTTCAAAACCCGTACCCTTAATTATTATAACCTTCAGTCTTAGAGTATGGGAAGGATTTAAACACGTGATAAAAGTAAAGAAGGTCTAACGTCTATGCCCGTGGGGTGGACGCAGATCTTCCCTGTAGTACAGAGGTGTCACTGCCCAGCTGCCAGGCATGCTGGCAGCCGGAGTGGATCTGCGTCTTCTCCAGGGTTCACCCTGGGCTGAGGAGAGACACCTCGCCCAAGGCCACTGCCCCTTCCCGGTGCAGCCTGCACCCAACAGTCAAAGCAGGAGTAGAAAACCGGCCCTCCGCTCCAATTTCAAAGGGCCATCCTTGGGCAGTGGCTGCAGCCTTTATTGTAACAGCATCGGAGTTCAGCTTCTCCCTCTGCCCATGCAGCTTCCCTGCCTCCCCGCACAGGGGTTGATCTTGAGAGCGCTCCCCAAGCAGACTTCCTGTGCGCCAGTCTCGGTCACGGAGCCCGCTTCCTGGAGAACGCCACCTGTGCTGCTCAGCAGACTGCATCCAGTGGCTTTCCCGGGAGGCGGAAGGATCTCTGGGGAAATGGACACACAGCAAATAAGCTGGGCCCTGAAAGCCCCGCCAGCAACCAGAGGAACCCATCCTACCTGTGTTTGCATGACCCCGGCTTGTCACATCCTTTTTAGAATACCACGGGAAGGAAGAGAATGTGGCGTGCAGGGTCCACAGCCACCTCCACAACTCGGAAGCATCCGCTGTGTGAAAATAGCTCCATTTCGGGCCAAGCGGGCCTGCGCCTGGGCTCCCGGTCTGCGCCGTGACCTCACCCTGCCGCGCCACATGTGCAGACTCATGACTCATCCGGGGCTCAACCAAAGCTTCCTCTCAGCTGCGTACCCCACCGCACCCCAAGGACAGCGGTTGTCCTCACCGGTGGCTGCTGAGGGGCGGAGGAGAGAGAGGGGGGAAAGCGACTCCGGCAAGAATGTCAACCCCAAGGGGGCGGCAGCTGCCCTGCCTGACGTCTAGAGAGGAACCCGCAAGAACATTAAATCATACTTGCCTGCCAGCCTTTCCGTTGAATAAGAAATTGGAAGGTGGTCCCCTCCCTAGTGTGGGAGCAGCTCAGGGGCAGGTATCCTTTGTCATGCGTGATCACGGAAGCCAGCGTTCATGTGGCGGAGAAACCATGTACCCAGCTCTGTTCTGAGCACTCGACCTATGTTGGCTAGTTTAATCCTCACAGCAACACTATGAGGTAGGTGCCATTATTCTCACCTCCGTGGGGACCAAGCACAGAAAGCTGAAGAATGGGTGTGGAACTTGCTAAAGCCACACTGGCTGTAAGTGGGTTCGGCCGCTGTACTGCACAGCCAGTGGGTGGCATTCAGGGCCTAAGGCAGGCCCTGCTTGCTGGGCTCAGGGCGGGTAACTGCCCCTGTGGCCCTTGTCACAGCTGGTCGCGGGCCCCTCAGGCGACGAGAATGGCGCACCAGAAGCCGGGGTTACAAAGGAGTGGGTTAAGGAGTATTGCAGGGCTTTCTCTCCAAGCCGCCCTTCCTCCTGCCTGGTGTCCACTGGCTGAGCCCCTGTCTTGATTTATGGTATTTGCTTTCATTCTTGGTGCATTCATTCTTTCCAGATGTTTTAATTTCTTTCCATTCGTTCACAAGGGAAGGCCTGCTGAGGGCGGAAACATCACGCATGAGCGAAAGGAGAACAATGGGCAAGAGGTGCCGAGCGAGCCTGTGTGGTGGCTGTTTTGTGGTTCCTGAGCTTCCTCCATGCAAGATCTGATCTTCAGTGACGCCCAGCAGGGCTGATGGAGACAGTCATCACTTCCTCCCTCAAAAAGGTGTGAAAAAAAAAAAAAAAGAAACTTTTCCTCTCATGGGCCAGGTGGTCACTATGCTGACTAGAGCAAGATCTCTGTGGACTGTGATTACTTATTAACACTTGTCCTTTCAGGCTGTTATTGTGTCCTTGTGTCTACAAGCCTCTGCCCTGCCCAACACACATGCAGGAATTTAGCTGTTTGGTTTTCCCTGAGCACCTCTGGGTGGTGTTGCTTATTATTCCCAATTTACCCTCCTTGACCAAAAAGTGAGATAATTCCCTTAAGTTCTGGATTTGGGAGATGTGAGAAAGCCCAGATTAGCTACACCGATGTTTCTCCAGCTTTTTCTTTTTCTTCTTCTTCTTCTTCTTTTTTGTTTCCTGAGACAGGGTCTCGCTCTATTGCCCAGGCTAGAGTGCCATGATGTCAGTCTAGCTCGCAGCAACCTCAAACTCCTGGGCTCAAGGGATCCTCCTGCCTCAGCCTCTCGAGAAGATGGGACTACAGGTGCGTGCCACCACACCTGGCTAATTTTTCTATTTTTTGTAGAGACATGGTCTCATTCTTGCTCAGGTTGGTCTTAACTCTTGAACTCAAGTGATCCTCCTGCCTCAGCCCCCCAGAGTGCTAGGATTACAATCGTGAGCCACCATGCCTGGCCTAAGCTTTTTTTCATTATCACCCCCTTAGGAGACTTGTCTGAATTTTTTTTTTCTAATTGCCCCTTTCCCCATGACATTATTATATGTCAGCATATCTGAAAGCCACAAACCATTGTAATATCTAAAAATTTGTCACACAGTCACACATACACATATACACCCCTTAAGAAACATTTTTGCCTACTTGGGGGTAATATCACTCATTGAGACTAGGTGAGCTAGACTCAGCAACTGAGTTCTGAAAGTGCCACCCTGGCACTTTCTTCCTTCTAAGTAGTGATTGTTGGCTTCCCTGCTTAACACTGCCTTTCTTGCTCCTGGTTATATATATAAACCTCTACCTCTCTCTCAAACCTGAAGCCTGAAGCAATTTCACTCTTAGGTAATTATCCAAGAGAATCAAATGTGTGTGACTGCCAAAAGACTATTATAAGAATGTCTGTAGCAGCTTTGTTCATTATAGTCAAAACCTGAAAACAATCTAAATGATCTTTTTTTTCTTTCTTTCTTTGAGACAAGTTCTCGCTCTGTCACCCAGGCTGGAGTACAGTGGTACAATCATAGCTCACTGCAGCCTCAAACTCCTGGGCTCAAGTGATCCTCCTGCCTTAGTCTCCCAAATAGCTGGGACTACAGGCACATGAATGTTTGTAGAGATGGGGTCTCACTATGTTGCTCAGGCTGATCTCAAACGCCTGGCCTCAAGCAATCCTCCTGCCTCAGCCTCCCAAAGTGCTGGGATTACAGATATGAGCCACCATGCCTAGCCTAAATGACCTTCAACAAAAGAACAGATAAATATAAATGGGGACATATTCATGTAATGCAATATTACCAGCAATAAAAAGAAACTAACTACTGCTACACATAACAACACAGATAAATTGCAAAAACATATGAATCAAAGAAAACAGATGCAAAAGGATATATTCTGCGTGATTCCATATTTATGAAGTTCAAGAACAGGCAAAACTAGTCCATGGTGACAATCAGACTAGTACATACCTCTGGGAAGACTTAGAGGGAGATTTTTCTTCTCTACCTTGCTTTGAGTGGTTATTACACAGTGTGTAATTCAGTTGAAATGTGTGTACTTATATAAAAATTCGAGCTATAGACTTAATACTTGTGCACTTAACTATACCTTAAATTTTTAAGCAGGCCCTTGAAAGCTCCTTTAAATAAAATTCAGCCAGGGGTATGTGGTTAAGATACAGATTTCAGGCTCCCATCCAGAGACCTATTCTATGGGTGGGACCAAGACTGTAAATCTTATCCAAACCCCCAAGTAATTCTGATGCAGGTTATCCTGAAACCACAGCAGAATATATTGGCTGGTTCCATTAGCTAATTGGTCCATGTTCCCATTACATAAGCTAAAGAATTTGGAGTGAATGAAACACAGTGAAAAATATTCCAGAGAAGCTGTGATGAGCACAACAGAAATAGACCCCAAAGTCTTATAAGCTTAAAACCAATCAATGTGCAGACAAGCTGGCCCTTAGGATGAAAGGTTGTGATGTTGGGGGCAAGAAACAGGCAAAGAAAAGAGCCCTGAGACTAAACAATTTCTAATTGCTGCAGTTGGGTATCCTGGCTCCAGACCACCTTAACTCGCTGTGTAGTGGAAGGCAGAAAATCATATTGGACCCAAATTACTAGCATCTCCTGTTATGGGCTGTGTGACTTTGGATAAGTTACTTAATAGCTCTGATCTTCAGTTCCTCCTCTGTAAAATGGGAATAATAGAATTTGCCTCATGTGGTTGTTGTAAGGATTAAAAGAGAGAAAGTTTGTAAGGACCTTGTGCAATGTGTAGGGGAGGTAAAAAAATCTTTTTTCCTTCCTCTCCTAAATTCTCCAGCTGGGGCCCTATAAATTAGACTGACAAAACACAGATTAGCAAGAGAGAAACAAACAGAAGTTTGTAGGTATAGGAGTAGCCAGTGCTGATAATTGGAAGGGGTGGTTAGGACATGGGCCTGTGGGGAACTAATGGAAGATAAGGGGTCAGTAAGGTTTGTTATGCAGATTTCTCTAGAGCTCTCTCTGGGCTTATAAGGGTCTAGAGTTGTTTCCAGTGATTTACTTCTGTCCTTCCCATTAGAGAGGGGAGGTGAGACACCTTTACAACTTTATGCCCTACTCTTAGGCAATCAGAGGAGGGCACAGGGCTTTTCTTGTATCTGCTTCTTCTCAACTGTCTTCAGCTCAGAATAATCCTTATGCTAAAGTAGCATACTTTGCGGGGGGGGGGGGGGGGGAGGGCATATTCTGCTCTCTTTCATCTGCCTGACATGCAGAAGGAGCTTAAGTGTGGCTTTCTCCAATCTCTCCTGAACTTTAGGCTCCTGTTTACACTCACGTCAGCCCTTCATTCACACACGAAATACTGACCGGGCAGCTGTTCCGTGCCAAGCACTATGCTGAGGATGAGGCTGGAGGAATGAATGAGATGCAGACACTCACAGTGGATAGAATAGCTAGAACAGCCTGGGAGGACAGATGGTTGCCTGTGATAAGGTGCTCCCTTATATACTCTCAATTAGGAGACTAGGGAGGGCTTCCCAGGGCTCCTCCGAGCTGAGTTTAGCAGGATAAATAGAAGTTGCCAGAAAGGCAAATCACAAAGACAAAGGACCTGGCGTGAGAAGAGCTAGCTGTGAAAACTTTCTGAATTCTCTTACATGGGGTGTGTTACTTCAAAGTGCTGCATTACCAGCATCTAGTGAGAGATTGTCTGTGTGCTAGGGACACGGACACTGAGAGGAACACAGGGTGACTGAGGCAGTCCATGCTCTCAGGAGACTCAGCATCTGAATTAGGTCCTCCCATAAGCACCAAGGTGGCAGAATGACACATATTTTGTACCTGTGCTGTGTTGCCAACCAACTGCTGGTCCTCAGAGGGGTGGGTGAGGTCTTGAGTGCCTTTACTAGTATCAGTCTCTGACCATTGGAGGGAATCAGCCAACGGTGCTGACTGGCTAAGTCCAGCCACCTTGGTTCCCCTCAAATTACAGCGCTTAGGAGGTTCTGCTTCTTAAAACCTGACTGCCAGGCAACATTCTATGAGTGACAAAAATTGTGCTAGATCTCCAGTGGGTAAGCAGCATCTCTCTTCTTCTGGCTGTCCCAGGCAAGATCCAAAGGCTGTCATGTCACTTTATCATAAATGCAGCCTTTTCAAGAAAACTTGTGATACTCTGAGCAATAGGACATCTTCTCTGGGACTGTGAGAGGTGGTTTATGCTCAGTGGCATGCTAATAAATATTTTAACAACAGCTCTCCCAGGGTGGGGGGGAAGAAAGCCTGGATCTGTAGTGTTTGCTGATTTCCCTGGTGTAAATACTGCCACTATGAACAATGCTATGTCACTGAATGTGGAGTTGGCAAAGAAGCCTGCTCCAACACACCACTGAGTCATGCTCTTCTTGGACCCTGAAAGACAATTTGCCAGAATGATCTGCAGATGTCACCTTAGTGATGAATAACAGCATATTCTTAAAAGCCAAGAAGCCTTTGACTTTAGGGCATTAGAGTGACCTGCGCTCAGAGCTCAGGGACCAGGGCTCTATTCTTTGGACCAGGCTACCTTCCATTCAGGCCCCATCCTTTCCCTGCCCAGTTACCCGCTACCCATCCTCCTATGCACAACTGGAGTTACTTCCTCACAGAACTCTTCTCACCACTCCCCATGAGTCCCCATCATGTGCTGTCAAAGCCCCACCCACCTGTCTCTCCTGGCCCTATCACAGCTGTTGTCCATGTTGTTGGTATGATTCTTTGATTTGTATCTTCCTGTAGACTATAAACTCCCTGAGGGTAGGGCCTGCAGTCACTCCTAGTACATGGCAGGAGTTCAGAATACCTTGGTGAGGCAATGAAGTGCATGAGGTGAAGAAGTGACTAGCCCCAAAGGCCCCTGAGACAGGGAAGAGCCCAGAACCAACTTTCAGGATCACCCCATGAAGCTCTCTCTCCTTCACTTTCAGTCAGAGGGGTCAACTGATGACCCACTGACCTTTGCCCTTGTTTCAAGGTTCTCACTCCAGTGTCACTTTAGCCACAGGGTCACCATCCCATGGAGGAGAAAAATTTCCAGCTCTGATGAGGAGGCTCTCTAGCCATGGGCCACCCCTTGCTTTAGATGTTGTGTACACATTAGACAGAGATCCCCCCTC